CCCCCCCCCATATAGTCGGGGGTGCTGCTGTCCCTCCGCGGTAGCCGGGCTGGGGGGAAGCTCCCAGCGGGGGAGACCTTTTTACCCCCTGGTTGTACCTTCCCGAAGCTGAGTACAACAACTGTTGTCCTAACGAGTAACGGAATATTTCTGTTGACTATTAGATCTGTTCCCATCAATGTTCACGTTTGTTTTTGTTTTCTTTTTAATTTTAAAATGAAATCAATGTATCAATAAAACTGAATATTTTATTACATCTTAAATTATTCAGCACAGTGGCTTCTCAAAATCCAGTAACATTCACACAGTTGCAGCAAGCATGTGACAGCTTATGCAATACTTCCTTGTACCTGCAGTTTATGCCCAAAGTCTTCCAGGCAAAAGATCCTGTGTCTCCCGCAAAGTCTGGACTTGTCAGAAATACTTTGCGTTGGGCTTCTGTAGAACTGCTCATGGTTCATATCTGAGACATTTTTTCCTTTAAGTCTGTGGTCTTGCCGTGTTTTTAGCTAACTTCAGGGTGGAAAAAACTTCATAGGTTTTCTAGTAGAAGTGAAATAGGCATGGAAAAAATCCATGTGCTCTGTGATTGCTTAAACTGTCGTTGCTCGGTTAAAGGTTTGTCCTTGGCTTCCAAAATGAAACAGAAGAAAATCTTTTTTTTTTTTTTTTTTATGCTGAAACAGGATAAAACGCTGCTTGACAGGTTTGATATACTGGGTTAATTTTACTTGCTGTCATAACGTTTACTGTTAATAGATCCTCTTGAAGTTATGTTGACTGTAAGCACAGTAAGTAACTGAAACTCTTTAGAAAGCAGGTTTTGAACAGTACAAAACTTTTTCTCTGTTGTTTGAACATTACTTGCTGATGAGTCTATTTGCATAAAGGCATATAATGAAAACCTAGGTAGTGTCATCTGCGCGGTGACCGGCTCTTCGCTGTCTTCTTTTGGGGTAAATTCCAACTGCAGATCAAAGTTAAGTCATATAGTACAGTAGTGACCTGTATTTCAAGTCTACAGTTAAAGAAAAATACCAACTGCTTTTTTTATTGAAGCTCTGAAAGGTAATTAAGGAGATCAAAATCCTGTTTATTCATTGTTTCTTAAAAGCCTCTTGCTGTTTGTGTTTGGAACGTATACATAGTACATCGGCAAGTATTTTTTTTCTTTCTCCTTTTTTTCTAAAAAAGGGAGAGAGAAGGGAGAAAAGGATTGAGAGAAAGAGAGACAGAGATGATGATGATGATGAAAAAGTCATCCCAATGGCCAATCTGTTAAATTTGCAGTCTCATGCACTGTAACAGGAGTCTGGTCTTCAGAGATGTGTTTCTGTGTGTCTGTATGATGAAACTAGGCGCAGTGACTTCTGCTCCTTAGTTTGCAAGAACGACGCAGGTGCATTTTTAATAAGGATTGTCCTTTTATACATATTACAAAACAGCTGTCAGGTCTTTGCTGTTGTGGCTGGTGCTTGGTCAAATCTGAACACGAGCCAATCTGGTGTTGTACTGTGTAGTGGACAGACAGTAGCTACAAGAGTGACTGCAGAGACTGCAAGACATTGTTTCAGGTGGAAGAAATATAGCACATCTCATCTATAGTAACACAGGTTCTGGAGTCCCACTGTGCATTTGTTTAAGAATAAATAAGCCAATACCTTTCTGAACAGTCAGTGAAGATTGGGGTCAAATGAAAGGAAAACAGAATTTAAAACTGCAATCCCCAGATTTGCCTCATGGAATGGGGTAAGCTGATCGGCTGTGGTGATGGTACTGTAAGTGGATAGCAAACTGGTGTGTTCCATGTCTATGTGTTAAATGTCTTTGCAACAGGATCTTCTGAAGAAGTACCGTTTGAATTGTATTTATTGTAAAGCTGATCACGCTTTTTCACTTAGCGTGTTGCTGAATTTTTATGTATGGTTTGCCTAAAAATGGTAATGACATTGCCAAAACCAGGCATATCTAGCTCTTTATTTTATGACCGTGTCCTGTGAGCCTGAGGTAAATGTTTTGGAACTTTCAAGGAACTGTTACAAAGATGTTGCTTTTTCTCCATTGCAGTGGGAACCTTCACTCTCTCTGAGGCTTAGAAGTTTCTATAAAGCCTCTTTCTGCAGCTGGAATGAGCTGCAAGGAGTAAAAGTGCTGAGAAACAAGAGAGGTAAACTGTAGCTTTGTTCTCCTGTAACTATGCGGACAGAAAAGATCACAGAGACTTTTAAAGACCAAGATTGTTCTGTTTTACCAAATGCCTTTGCATCTTTGGATGGCATCTGCTTCTGTACAAACTGCTGACAGTGTGACCCTGCATAATGATTTTCACTGTTCTTTTAACAAATTACATTTGTATTCAAATCGATTTTCCATGACTGCTCATATAGCCTCCAGAAAGCATATAGCAGATATACTATTGCATCCTGTATGTGTCTGGTCAGCCTAGGACAGTTTGATGTCAAGCCATGCATTATTATAACTGGAATTAGTAGTCCTGGTGGTATCAATCGGGTTTTTTAAGCATCCGACTTCCTCTGCCCTTTATGTCTTTATCCTTTGTGTTGTTTTTCAAAGGACACACTTCATACAAGGTTATATATCAATGGTAGCGTAGTGAAAAGGGGCATAGTCTTATCTTCCCTCCTCCACATTTTTCCAGCTACTGTCCAGTTGAAAATCAAAGAAATGATCCGCTTGGGAAGTTATTTCAAAAGACAATCACTTTTTATTAAGAGGTTGATTTTTGTGCCTTAGATTAGGTGTTTATACAGCATATGTCCATACAGCAGCAGTAAAACTCACCGCCTGATATCCCTTCAACCTGAGTAAAGGTAACTGGAGAAGCGACGTTTAGGAAACTGCAAGTCATGAATAAATCTGCTACTCTCAAATTTATTGTGAGTTGTATAGGAGTCGGCATGTTAACTGTGTTCTATTATTTTATTTTTTTGCACATTTGGAACTTATGTAAGCCACAGAGCCAGTATTATTTCTGAAATCTTAAAGGGCGGTCAGCATTGTATTACAAGTGATGTTGGGCTGCTTTGTAGCATACTTGAAGCCTAGCTGCCTGGAGTTTAAAAGCATAAGGGGTGAGCGTCAAAACAGTATTCATTAATTCCAACTTTAAAAACAGGTTCATGGTGAAAATAAGAATTCAATTTTTCTAAATGATACTTTAGAAAATAGAAGATGAGTTAAAAGATTCAAACCCAAATAACGATTGTAAGAGCCTTAACGTCTGCAAACTTAAAACCTCTGGAAAATTCTGTCTTCTATTGGAGGACTTACACACATTTTCCGTTTAAAGAGGGTGCAGGGAGAAAGTAGGGGGAAAGCCAACATTAGCCTAAATTCAGTGTGTTGTATGAGCCCAGGTAATAACTGATCATGGGTTTAGGTGTTCTTCTTCATAGAAAACTTGTATCTTATCTCAGAGAGAAAGCTGCTCCATGTGTGTAGTGCCGGTAGGGTATGGCTGATTTTCTAACAGCGTGGTGTTCGGGGTATAAAGCAGCTTTCATGCAATTGTATTACAGGGACCAGAGTGTGGACCTGTTCGAAAACAGTAACTGCAATTGTGGACCTGGATGCTGGATGTTAGTGAAAGCGGGGGCTGAGCTAGCAGCCGGTGTCCCAGAAATCTGGAGGTGCACAATTTGTGCATGTCTTTGCAGGATTTGGGATCTTAACCAGATCTCAGTCTTGGTGTAGTTGGAATGCAGTTGTGGGGTTTTTCTGTTCGCTTGTTTGTGTGGGTTTTTTTCTCTTTAATCAGCAAGCTGTTTTACCTTTCATCACAGCGGGGGTGATGAAAGGCTTCTATTTTAGGCTTTAAAAGCTGAGAAATGAAACAGACCATGATTATCTAATAAAGTCTCTAGGTAATCTAGTTAATAATTGCAGCATGTTTTGTGTGATTGAATGCATTATCATGTGAAATACACACGAAAACAACTTTATTTTACATACTATATAGTGGCTATATGCATACATGGTATATTGTGGGTGTATCCACACTTCAGATAGTGTACAGAAGAATAGCATTCACTTATGTGCCACACATCTAGTTTGATACTTCTTGAAAGTTTCAGTCATATTAGATAAGATTTCATCATTGTATGAACTCAGGATGCAGAGCTCCATATTTCAAGTGGATATTTGTTATGTTCAACAAAAGCAATGGTTGTCTAAGACTGTTTTTTGAGACTAACGGCAGTATTCCTCACTCTAACCCCCCCAAAAAAAACCTTTTTAATAAAGGGCCATATGTAGTCAAAGGCTTTTTATGACTATAAGAGTTTGGTGAAGTTGTTTGAAAATATACAAGAAAATACTCATTTGTCTATGCCATTCAAATGGAGAATCCTGGAGTATCTTACCTATACCACTCGTGGCAGTAGAATGTCATGTTTTCAGTTTTAGGAGCTAGGGTTTTAACTACAATGTTTAAAGCAGTAAACTCAAGTATGCAGAGGACAGCAGGGAGGAGCAGCAGGTGGATAAGAGGCGCAAGAACATCTGCTCTCCTTGTGGGGAACCCGGACAGGAGTTTTGCGCATCCCAGCAGGAAACTAAAGGTATGAGCAAAAAAATGCGCAACTGCTTTGGTTCCATGGGTCATACATGTCCTTGGACGCCACAGGGAAGTGGGAAGGGAGCTGGGGAACTGTTGTCCTCCAGCGGAGGAGGTGGGAGGTTCGGTGTGGGTGCTCCCCATCATCTCTCATCCCAGGTGGTGGTGGGAGAGCAGGGCCAGATGCGGAGGCATAACCTGTCCAGCATGTAGTGCCTGCATCAAGAGGTGGCTCTTGATTAAAGCTATTGAGAAATTTGCCAACCAAAAATACTTTATCAGAGCAGTGCAATTCTGTACATAGAGGAGTTCAACCAGTTATCAGTTTTCCGTGTGCTTCCTCAGTGTTTAGCTTGTCCTCCTGGCACACAGACGGCATGGGTTCAAATTGTCTCTTAAGTGTTTCAGACTACATATTTGACTCTGGGAATTTCAAATCTTTTATTTCATACAGAGCAGGACTTTTTCCATGTTTTGCAAATAACCTTCTTTCCTTCTTCCTGTCCCACTCACCTTGCAACTAATTTTTTCCTTAACTGTTTTCAGTTTTAAAACAGCACAAGGTGTTTGTGCAGCCAGATTGTGGCCCTACTGCAGGATAAAAGTACAGTTTAGACACAGAAGGCTTTTTTGTGTGTGCCTTTGGGTATTGTACCGATAATAACTTTTTGTCAAAGACAAAAAAAAAAAAAAGAGAGATGATTGCTTTGCCAATTTTTAGCTGCAGTAATGTTATTTGCCATGCTTCTATGTGGGGAGGCTGACAAAATTCCTACAAAAACTGCTTTTTTCCTATCATTGTCAAGATGCTGTGTCAACCTGTATAATTATGGAGAGCTGTGACAGCAGTGTGTAAATAACAGTAATTTCTGCCATCTGATTATTCCTGTATTTAGGCTTCTACAATCGTGAAGCTAAAACAGACAATATAGGAAATACTTTTGCATAAGACTTATATAACCACGTGTGTTTGGGAAAAATAGAAAATAAAAGTTATTTGATTATTTTTAACAGTTAGATCTTTCAGTCCATCTCTCCCTCATGTACGACAGCCTCTGTCACCGCTGGATATCGTTGCACACAACCAGCCCCTTTAATCCAGGCTTCATCTCTGATTATTCTCTATTACAGTCCCATAGGCCCTACCACTTTAATCTCTTTGCCAGTTTTTTGGTTTTCTACTTAAGTATTACATTTGCAGACAGTGGCCTGGGCTCTGAGACGGACTCATTTGTTTTTTTGTTTAACTCATACACTTTACAGCTTAGGCTTTTAAAACAGAGATAGTGAAAATATGGTTTGCTGTGTAACTTGTCAGATTCCTTACTTGTCTGAAGAATTGCACAGGATTGCCTTACAAGAGCTTTTCTAGGTTAAAAACGAAGACGTAATAGCTTATTGCTTTCAGATACTATTGCAGAACTATTTTAAAACCACTGAACATCCATTTATTTGAATAATTTTAAGGGAAGATTAGATTAATACTGTGAATAGTGTGCAGTGTGGATGGGGAAATCATGTGCTGTTGTCATGAGAGGTAGCTAAAATGACATAGTAGTTCTCTTGTATTGTATGTCCTATATATATTTTATTAATGATGCTGTTGTCCCATTTCTTTGATGACTTTTTTATGGCTCTGCCTTCTGACTTCATGATGCATCAGTTATAGGTAGTCCTTCAGGATAAAGGTCACCCTCTTTGATAATGCCTTTCGTTTTCCTGGGTGTGATCAAGTCCATCCTATTGTAACTCCTTGACTTTCTTCACCAGGTTTCTCTTTAACCTGGTGCCCTTGTTCAGGTGCGTGTTTGCTTTTAGAAACTTCTTTAAGAAATGCTACACTTCTGTAGTGTTGGGCACTTTCATGTGCATTTACACTCTGTGGTTCCTTCCTGTGGTGATTTTACTTCAAACTCTTCTCCAAATGTGCGTCTTCTGATTCAGCCCATTACTGAAGGCATAGTGAACAATCAGAGATCAACAAAGAAAAATAGTTAAAGCAATATCAGACATGCTTGGGAATGTACACAGAGCTGTATTTCTTCTTTTGTGAAATCTGTTGGGGAAGAAACATCAAAGCAACATCTGAAAAAGAACCCTGAAATCTGCTGGAGTAAAATGTGGTTGACTATATACACTGGCTTAATATTAAGACTGCCTCTATATTTCTTCACACAGCAAAAGCAGCTATTACTGTAGTATGCCTTAGTATCTTTCAGTATAGTTGGATAATTGAGTGATAATATACATTTAAAATGCTGAATGTGAGTAAAAGTAGAATAGTAACAGGTGCGGCTCTGACCTGTGGTAATGGTGCAGCCTCTTGGCCACTGGAGGGGTGAAACAAGGGTCTAGTCTGTAGGGAACTTCCCGAGTCTCCATAGTTTGTTGCTGCTAAACATCAGCTGAGATGAGCAGCTCCATCATGTGAGAGTAGAGAGTATGGCCATGCCCATCTAATTGCTGTTTGCCATTGACTTTTCCATAATTTCAGCACTGGTGATGATCTTATGCAGATCAATAAGATATTATTAATTTCTGTGCAGTGCTGCTTTGCTGGTAGTTAGGCTTATTGGGATGACTTAGGGCAG